TCTGGGATTCTATGATTCGATGACATTTTGCTGCCTTCTTATTCAGCATTTGAAGATCCTTCTGCTGCTCTTTGCTGGTTTTGGTTTGATGTTATTCAGTATTTTTGCAAATTAGCAGCAACTTCTGTCCCTTCACCAGTCACCTCTTTTTTTCTGACAGTTTCTAAAGCTTTTAAACAACCCACTGAACTGGGGTTGGAAAAGCTCCTCTGCAGAGCTCTGCTTGAAACCCCAGAGCTGTCTGAAGGGTGTGTGAGGAAGAGGTGATGATCAAAGTGTCTGCATGTAGTTGGCTCATCCAGACTCCTGGGAGCTCTCAGCCCCAGTGCTCCTGCCCATCCATCAGAGCGGTGAGAGGGGACAACAAAAGAGCCTTGAACATTGAACATGATGTTTGCTAAATTTATCAGAGAGCTTTTGCAGACATGGTTCCCTTCACAAGTGGAGATGGGATCATGGGTCCTTTCCAAGCCAGCAGCCCCACATGGTGACCAGTGTGGACAATGGAGGGGGATTTATCGATGCATTGTGGCCACATTTCAGCCCTATTGCCTGCAGTTGCATCTCTGCCAGAGGTTGGGAAAGGTCTGAAACCCTGAGATACTGATCTTGTTCTCCCCTCATCATTACACTTGTAGATCTGCATCAGGTCCCTCTGACCCATCAGTCCTGTCTGAACAGCTCTGCTATTGACAACCCCCATTCATTTGTGCTCTCATCAAAGACAGTCTGCTGAAATCCTATCTGATATTGGGTAACCTCATCTGGGGGCAGGAGGTGGCTGCCAGCACACTTGGGAAGTTCTGGTTCTCATGCCATGACTGCATGTCCAGCCACAAACAGCACAACTTGGATGAGTTCCCGTATCTCCCCAGCATCCTCCACTCGGCAGGGAAAAGCTCTATAAAAACCAGCAGCCACAGCCTCCCTGTATACCACCTCCTCCCTTGGACATCTCTCCGACTCTCCTCTCTCCAGCCTTGTTGAGATCCAGCTCAACTCCAGCCATGAGGTTCCTCTACCTTGTCTTCGCTGTCTTCCTACTGGTCTCCCTGGCCACTCCAGGTAAGATGGAAAACAGGGTGAGATGAGCTGATTTGAGCTGGGATTCTTTTAAAGACACTTTAGCTCTTGAAAATATAATTATTCCCATCTGAGGTGACTGCTGTAACCTGGGCGGGTGCTTTGATGACTTCTTTCAAGGGATACTGAAATAAGGACTACCTAAGAGAGGTTTATGTAGGGATAACTGAGGTTAAAACTTCATTATCCAGTTTGTGAGTAAGCCCAGGCCAGACAACTGCCAAACAAGAGCCTGGATGTGGCCACTTCTCTTGGGGACTCAGAGAGTTTCATAGTACCAGAGGGGACTCTTCTCTGAAACTCGATTTCTCTGTCAAGGCTCAGTCCTGAGTAGGTTTAATTTACTGATGTGACACAGATATTGCTCCCCATGCCTGTTTCTGAGACTCTAAGGTTTTGTGGTCCCTCTACAGGAGTCAAAAGGAGATTCTGGGATGAGATGTTCCAGACAGGCACTACAAACTCCTTTCAGATATCAATTCTCATCCACCAAGTGAAAGACTTGGCTGATTTTAAACCACCATAGTGAATATTTGGTGCAAAGTTGCTGTGAGGCCAATTTCAAGACCTTTGCAGCATCTTCTCAGCCATTTCGAGTTAGAGGGCAATTTTCCAAAGCCTGATATAAGTATGGAGACCTGAGTGGAGAGCGAAGTTTTTGCAATAAGCTTGATTTTGCTGTTTTGCTCTGAGAACACTGATCCTACCCCTTAAGAAGAGGTACCTGGAATCACACATGCACTCAGATGAGCATCTTTATGAGCTTTGCTTTTGGGGTGTGTGTCATGAGGGGAATGAATGTGCTCTCCTTGGGAGCATCTCTTTCTCAAAAAACTGCACCTGTGGCACCAGCTGGGGGGAGAGGGATGCTCAAGGAGTTTCTGGGGCTTGTGCTCTTCAAGTTCCCTTCCTGCTTTGGGGCTGGGCTTGGGCAGGAGTGGTGGACATGTGGGTGAATGGAGCAGGACCTCCCTATGAGCAGGGTCTCATCCATCTGACCACAGCCACACTAACTGCTGGAGGTGATGGGAGGGCATGACAGTGGGGCACAGAGGCACCTCTCCTGACCCAACCACTCTCCTTCTGTCTCCCCTTGCAGGCTATGGGCAGATAATGAAGTACTGTCCCAAGGTGGGACGCTGCTCCAGTAAGTGTGCCAAGGCGGACGTGTGGTCCTTCTCTGCTGACTGCAAGTACTA